GAGAGAGAGAGAGGAAAGAGAGAGAGGAGAGCGAGGATTTATTTTGTAGGTCATCTACTTTACATACCTCTTTAGCCAATTTTGAGAAAAAATCTAGAGAGATGTTTAAAATATAAAAAACTTAGGAATATATGAGACACTTCCTAATTTTCAAAACCTTACTTTAATTAATTGATAGTTTATAACAGTCAACAATTTCAAAATGATAGATTATATTAGTATTACTTGAGAATTATGTGAGAGATTTACAATCTGTTTTCTGCCCTAAAGGTGATTTCCTCTGACTAGATCTACGGTTTCCAATAAAATCTAAAGGTATTATATTTTTATTCTTTTCTGATCTCCCTCTATTTATTGAACTTTTCCATATTTTTACATTTTTTGAGAATTTTTTGGGCCCTTTAGAGAGTCGCCACAAACGGAGATGACTTGGGACTCAGCAAGTCGTCTTGCCCCGGGAACACAGCAAATCCCACGGGGAGTACATGTTTAGGACAATGGTCTGCTACATGACCAAAACTTTAGTGACAGGTAAATATATCGCCACAGCAAAACCCAAATCTTAGCTGCCTGTTTGAAGGGGCTTCTGTGGAGCTCCAAATTAAATCTTATTTGGGAAGCCACCCGAAAGAAAATACCCTCAACAAACGTTTGGCTTGGAGTTCCAAAAATGAGCCAAATATGTGGCTACCCCAAAATAGATCGAAGCCGTCTGTTTGAACAAATGGATGAATCTAAAGGATTTGGAGCTTCTTTGAATTCCAAATCAAATCCTATAAGGAGGATCGTGATTGGAGCTTTCCATAGATGATTTGGAGCATTTATGGCCCCCCTTAGCTAACTCAAAATGGTCTTTAAGTTAGGGGAGCATGACAGTCTAATATTCCTAGGGACACAAAGAAAGTCTTCCTCTAAGAACTGATCATCATCATATAAAAGCAATGAGGAGTGATGCCCTAAGAAGTTTTGTGTTAGAGTACAGTAAGCGAAGATCTTTTAATGGAAAATATGGGAGCCAGGATTGACTCGCAAGCATCAATAATATCGCATGATCAGTTGAAGGAGCTCCCAGCAAAGGCATTCTTGTGCGAAATAAAACAAAATATCGCCTAAAATATTTTTATTTTTTTTCAAACATAGAATACATGCCAAGAGAAGTTAGTTATACCATGTAGGTTGCCTTCTTTCAGAATAACTTAAAAGAAAAAAAAAATGTATGCTCAAAATAATAACGAAACAGAAGTGCAGCATCAAACAGCATCAAACAGCAAAAATCATATCATACCTCTGTCTTGTAGCGTGAATCCTTTGGGGGAATTTTAAGTTGGGCCTTCCAATCTTGAGAGCTAACAAAACAATGAATTGGGAGAGTTCAAAATAAAAGTCAAAATACATACCACAAATACTATTGACAGATAACCCAATATCTCAAAGACTAAAAACAAGGTTAGAAGCTTCTATTACACAGTTATATAACATATACACATGTTGTTAGAATTATAAAATCAGCAGTTTTCCATTCTGACAAGTAAAAATTAAAATTGCCTTTCTGACGAGTAAACACTAAAATTATATATAATTCATTTATCCTCTTAAACATGCATGCTCCTACATATACTCCAAACATTTCCCACTTTAAACACCTTCAAAAGTCTTCTTGCAACTCCAAATCTGTAATAGTCATATATTCACCCTCTTAGTTCTACGTGTTTGATCAATTTCAGAACCTAACCTGATGTGACAAAGCTATTCATCTCCATCAGAAAATTCCAGAGCTAAATCCACATTTCTTCAGCTAAAAAAGAAATGAACGGACCTCCAATCAAATAGGCACATCACATGGTCAACTCTTCTGCCACCGAAAAATGAAGATTTTACAGCTAATAGTCAAATATCACACATAACAGACATAACCAAGGTAAGCTTGATATTTGCTATACTCCCTATTAAGTAGCTGTATAAGCAATGACACTTTAAAAAATTTTCAGAGTTTGGTCACTTTAGCATCCATGGAGAAGCACGGCTACAGAAAATTCAAAGGTCTGTTAGTACATTTTGTTGACGTAAGGCTCATGTACTTTGTTGAAGAATAGAACCTTTTCTTGTACAATAGACACATAAACTTTATCTTCAAAAATAACTTGCTCTGATCAATTGGCTCATGATTATATTGCTTTTGTTTCAATAAGTTAATCATAAAAAATTTGTATTGGTGACAGACCTCAGTTGCAGGAACCATGTGCACTTACGGTGCACACACTCCAAGACTGATTTTCTTGGCAATTCCCAGGAAATTCCTAATGAGAAACCCTCTCTTCACTCACTTCCACTTCAATAGCTGATTTTAGCAACAACAGGGAGAGCATGGCAATTTATTTCTACGTAGGATGACAAATATGATGCCTAGGTTCCTTCTCAAAATTAGGGACCAAGTATTATGTAAACGATAGACAACTATGGTAGATTTATGAAATTATCCACAATGAAGCCAAAGATCCATCAGCACAAGTTTGACAAGAGATAAAAATGGCAGGCCATGCTGCTTCTTTAACGGAACAGTTCTGTGAAGTATGTATGGAAAATCAACTGACGTGATACACTGCTAGGCAATCATACTTCAAAGGTATCGGTTGTCTATACTTCCAGAAGAGCAGTTCTTTACAAATATCATGCATCTAGTTATAATCGAGGAAAAAGTACATAAACAAGCCATCGGTAATCCTGCTAGGAAAAAATAATCTCCACTTCGACAGAAGTAAGAACAGTAATTCCTAGAAATTAATCGCATTCAGGAGGAGTTTCATGGTCTCATTAACAAATTAGCTGCCTGGAGTTAATGTGTTCCAATTTCACAGAATCAAAGTGGATAAAATCTACAAGGAATTCGTTAAAAAATAAAAATCACGTAATCCAATAAATGTGAATATAAATTGTCATCCATTATCAATTAATACAAAAAAGGAACACATGAAGATTCATCAGTGTTTCCCAAAAAAATAAAAAGGAACACATGAAGATGCATCAGCTTTTTCAAAATCTAGCTGTGGATGGTACATTTACTTATCTCGAGGAAAGTTCATCAATGAATATAAACATTCATTTCCATAAAATTCACATCACACATGAAACGACAATTCAAAGAAAAAGGCCTCAAGCATATTACTCATCAGCATAAGATTACCAGGGGAAAAAATATATGGCCCATCAAAATTAGATAATTAATAGACATATCCATATTTTCATTACATAAAAAGCCGGCATGCCAAACCTCAAACCCTAGCATTAACCCTAAAAGCACGACCAAATATTTTGTAGGAAACCCACAGCCTTAAGCCTTACAATTGGTACAAAACATAAAGATGAAATACGTAATTAAAACAGTCAAAATTGGCAGAACACATACAAAAGAAGAAAAAAAATAGCTTCAGAACCCTAATTATATCTTTCTTTGGGAGTCTATACACCTTGAAGCTGCATCTTCCGAGGTAACCCTCTTCTCCTCTTCAACTTGGTCTCTCCTGAGCCATTGTTGCTGCTGCTGTTGATTTTGTAATGGCCCTCTCTGAACGATTTGTTGTGGAAGCCTCTGTGGAGTCCCACCGTAAGATGGGAGATAGCCCCTTCGATTATTCATCACTCTCTTTTACGACTTCAAGAAAAAAGCCCCAAGTACCACGAAATATAGAAAGGGCGAGAATTAGTGAGAGAAATACAGTTAGATAAAGCAACTCTGATTATACCCAAAATAACCAATAAAGAGAGCGATCTTCGAGATCCAAGATAAATTCCCCGAAAAACTAAGATAGTGGAAAGGCTCTCAGTTTCACGCAAAAGAACAAGAAGAACGTAAATTCCCTGAAAAACTAAGATAATGGAAAGGCTCTCAGTTTCGAGCAAAAGAACAAGAAGAACGTGAAAAGACTCAGATTCACGCAAACTCTCCAACGAAACCTAGACTAAGAATCGATAGAGAAATGAAGAACCCTCAGATTCAACCTAAGGAGATAAGAGGAGAGACAACAGTTCTCTAAAATTGGAACCTGCTATCTCTGCTTGAAGATATACGAGAAGAGCACATAAATATAATTCTACAGAGCTGGAGAGAGAGAGAGAGAACGGGGGAGGGATCTGAGCTATATTTACAGGCAAAAAAACGACCAAGGAGAAAGGAAATGGGGTGTTTTCTTTTAAAGAAAATATTGTTTTGAAGGAAATAGGATTGAACCCTCAAGTCCCCCATGAAAATACAAAAAGTGAGAAAAAAAAAATTTAAGAGAGGGAGAGAGATTTTTTATCAATAATTGCCAAAAATTTTAGGTAAAATGGAAAACTAAGGTTACCGGTCCAGAACGCGAGGGGCTATGGCGAGAAGAGAGAGAGAGAGAGAGAAAAATTTTGTCGCAGAGATTTGTAGAAAGAAGAGATGGCAGAAGGATATGGATTAGGGCTTTGACGAGGGGATGATAAAAGCTATGGAGAAAAACGGGCCATTTTTAATATATTTCTCTTTCGTCGAGGAAATCTGTAGAGAGCTGGAGAGCGAGGAAGACATGAGTTTTAGGGTTTGATGACGAAATGGAGAAATACGAGGCGGGGAGAGATAGAGGGTCTAGACAGAGAGTAGTTCGAGAGAGAGAGAGAGAGAGAGAGAGATGACAGAGGCGTAGATAGAGAAAGAGGAGATTTCTAGAGAGAGAGAGAGAGAGTGATCAATAATTGGGAAATAATATTGAAAGGGATGGTTTATATGAGTCAGCCGACGCATGCTATAGATATGCCGGCCCCCCACTTAAACCCATTTCAAAAGTAATTTTTAAGCTAAAATTTTAAAGACTCATAAACTACATAAAGATCATTATTAATAAATAAAATAAAATAAAATTTTCAATATTTAAAATTTGATCTTTTTTACCGAAATTTTTTTACACTACTTAAATTCATTTTAGCCCATGTCTTGGAGATGGACAATGGTGAGTCAGCTCACAAAAAGCTTTTCCATATTCAAATAAAGAAAAGGTAAAAGTACTAATACTCACCTTAACATTTCGTTACTTTTTTTAAAATAAAATCAACTAATAAAGCCCCGACCTACAGATAAGTTAAAGGCAATTTTTCCTTTGTTTTGACCTTTACCCATTACTTTTCTCGTTAACACATTTACTGTGTTTATTACGAACCGGTTTTTATCCATTCCTCTATCTTCCTCACTAACGGCTTTTTCCTTAGGCTATGGTCACAGCTTTTTCCTTCACTAAGGCTTTTTTCTCGTGGTTTTTTTTATTTTCCGTGGCTTCTTTCTCACCTCCCACCGGATTTTCCTCTCCATTAGCTTTCCTCATATTTTCCCTCTCCACGAATTTCGTTTTCTCTCCATTGGCTTCCTCACACTAATCGAATCTCTTTGTAGGCAAAATAAATAACATATAGAGGAAATTCCAACCCAATATAGAAGTATTTTAGAGAGAGAAGAGGAGAGAGTGTGTATGTGTGTTTGAGAGAGACAGAGGGAGATTTTGCATAATATAAAGGTATTTTAAAGAAAGAAAGAGATGGAGATTTCGTACAATAGAGATATACTAGAGAGAGAAAGATAGAGATTTCACACAATAGAGGTATTCTAGAGAGAGAGATTTCACACAGCACATATGTTTTCTAGACAGAGAAAGAAGGTTGTTTGGTGAAAGAAAACCAGTATTTATAGCAAACAAAGAAGGAATGAACAAACCAAGAACTTGGAGCATTTTGGGGGGATTCGGCATTTTTTGAATGCACTCCGGAGATCACAGTCCGGCATTTACGAAACGCGCAGTGGCAAAACTAAAACTCACTCCGGCATTTTTTTAAAGCATTATGGAGATTAGTTCACTGTAAAAAATCAGTCTGGCACCTGTAAAAAGCACTCCGACAAAATTAAAAATCACTTTGGCGTTTCTTGAATCCGCTCCGGAGATTGATTCATGGTTAATAGGCAGTCTGAAATCTAAAAAACGTGTACCAGCAAAACTAAGAAGTACTCCGGCGTTTTCTAAATGCACTCCGGAGAATGTTCACTGTTAAATAAGCACTCCGACATCTGTAAAATGCACTCCAGCAACATTAGAAAGCACTCCGGCATTTGTTGAAAGCACTCCAGAGATTAGTTTATTGTAAAAAAGTAGTCCGACATCTGTAAAAAGCACTCCGGCAAAGCTAGAGAGGCACTCCGGCTTTTCTTGAATTCACTCTGGAGATTGATTCACTGTTCATAGCCAGTCTGGAATCTAAAAAACGTACACTGGCAAAACTAAGAAGCACTCCGGCAATATGTTTCCTGGATACGCAGGCACTTCAATCCGGCGTTTTAGATATTTGATCCGGCATATTGTTTTCTCATAAGCACTCCGGCAAATAATAACCGTGGTCCAGTGTTAATGGAAATTGGGATCCGTCCGCAGGATTTGATCGCACGTTCAAGGTACATAAAGGGGTATTTTTTGTAAAAGAATAAACCTTTTTCAGTTGGGGGGGTTTTAGTAAAAAGTTGGTTTTTCAAAAAAAGGAGTAAAGAAAGATTATGGTTGAGGTAGAAGGTCTAAAAAGCTCATTTTGAAGGTTTTTTCATAATTTTTACTAAAGAAAAACTTGGACTTCTATATCTTTTCGTATACTTACACCACTATTTTGTGCTCTTTACTAATGCATATTTTATCAAATTACTTCTCAAAAAAAAATATTTTAACATTTTATATTATCGTTTAATTTACTTTTGAAATATCTATATGAAAATACATGAAGTTGAGTTGAAATAGTTAAAAATGGGTAGAATGTTAAATAGTCACAAGAGCAAGTATACATGCTCTTTAAGTGTTCATAGATCTATTAGATCTGTATCATTTTTTAAGCTTCAAGTTTCATAATGTGGTACATGTAGATATGTAAACCATCACAAAGACTTCCTAAACTTTTATTGATTTAAAAATTTTATTTTCAAGCCCTAAAAATAATAAAGTATAACTTTTATCCTTCCTTAGATCTCTTGTTTTACTCTGATAATATCATAGATCCAGGATCAATGCAGGGGAAATAAATCCATTTTCATACTATATTATGTAACACATGTTTTTTAATCAAATTTTTTAAGTATTCATACATCTATTAGATCTAT